GCAGACGATAACGGGGCATTGTTTTCGAAGCAGGCAACTGGAAGAAGTCGTTAATACTGCTGTTGTGTAAAAACACCATTCCGATGTCTTTTCTGCTTTGGTTCGGCTTTCCCTTGCGGCAGTGGATGCTTTCTCACGCTTCATTCTCAGGGGCTCACGGGGAGATCGTCGGTCGGCATAGCAGCATCACGCCATGTTTGGACCTCGTCAGACAATCCGTGGCTCATGTCGTGAAAATAAAGTCGCGGGGACTGGCTCTATTTCCCGGGGATGCCTTCGGTAGTTAGACATCTCGAACAACCCAGATGCTGAAACCCAAGGACCGGGGTATATGATCCCTTGTTGGCGACTTGCTTGCGGTCGTCAGTCCAACCCTTCTTGGGTTGTAGTTGGAGGTAGACACGATTTCAAAGAAACTAGCAGGTTTCCAGCCCTCGGGCCACATACACCACGGCGCTAGGCCTAACTAGGGCTAGCCCACACCGGCACCCTAAACCACAGCCCAAGCTTCGTTGGTGTGCAGTGGGTAGGCCTTGATCGCTGTGCCGAAATATGTACTGGAACGCGCTTCGCGCTTCGCGCTCGCAAACGCTGGCGTGAATACGCCTCGCGGGAGCCCACAAGACTTGCCGACCAAGAGAGGTGTGTGGCGGAAATTGCTGTGGGCGGTTCGGCGTACATACCTTCCCAGCAGTGGTGTCGTTGGCGTGCATATTGCATACAGCCGCAGAAATAGAACTGGCACCAAGGGCAGCAGTTGTGCGTACAATGCTGGCCTAGAGGAAACTCGAGGTAAGAAGATCTGTGTTCAATATCAATGGTACTTGGAAGCATGTGCAGAGAAGCGCTCTTGGCACAAAGATATACGGGGGTTTCAGCTTCGCGCACCAAGACACAAAACACGCGGGCCTCCCCGCTCTACCCGCCGCGTCGGGCCAAGCCAGCGTCTACGAGCGATAAATAGCAAAGCAGGAGGAAAGCGAGGCGAGCAGTAGCTGGGGATGTTTGAGCCCCTCCGGTACCAGCCATCAAGACCCCCCGCCCCCCTCCCCCCTCCCCCCTCCCCAACACAATCATAACCGCGGGTCAAGAGCGGGAGCCACTCGCCGGCGCAGCTATTGCGAAGATTCGACCGACCACTTGGAGGTGCTACAATATCGACGCATTGCTTGCATAAGGAGCACGGGCGACTCACCAGCAGAGATGGGTAGGGATAGGTGGTAGGAACCAGCCAGGTCGTCGTGAGGCAATCACGACGAGTTCCCAGAAGTACCTCGTGTATCTACTTGTGGGTGTGTGATCGGAAGTCTAATATATTATCCTATTGAGCGCGAGAGATGCAAACCAGCGGCGATGGCGGCGACACCCTCTCCGCGAGACCACAAGACACGAACCGATGGCTGCACGAACTCAGTTAAATCTACATGAATTATCCACCCTTTACTGCGTACCAAGCATCAAGTTTATGACGTGAAGGGCATGATGCTTCTGCACGCACGCGTGGTCATTTGTGCAGAAGGAACGCGCCCATATACTGGTGTGGGGCGTTTTCTTTCCGACAACAAAGGCATCGTGCCGCGCGGTTTGCGTAGATGACATGGTAAAAATGTCCTGTTGACAAGTCTTGTTGAGTAGCGGTTCAAAGTAGTCGTGAAGTGTCCATCCCCTCAAATCGTTGGAAATCTTGGAGCGGACTACCCGCCGGCCGCTATGCAAGTATTCCATATAGCGCACACGAGCGAGCGGAACGCGGCAATCCACCCCCCCTTGACAATAATGGGTGCAGCATCAGTTTGGTGCTCTCAAATCCGGAGCCCCGGGGACTGCGGCCAGTGCCACACGCCTGCCCCCGGCTTTTCGACGCATCGAAACGACGGTAGCAGCAGCAGCAGTTACCGACACCAAACAAGAGAAAGAGTCGCTACAGCACACAGCATTTGGGCGTGTATCAAAAAAGATTCGTAAAATGCGGGCGGTGTTTTCTATGCATATCACCCAGGCTGATATTATCATATTACACGTGTGGTGGCGTTTTCGCTGTGCTTTCATAAGAGAGGGAGAGGAAGGTGGGGAAAATGTCGACAAAATTCGAAAAAAATCATGTGGAGGGACTGCTTCGCTAAAACCGGCGAGGCAGGGAGGATGCGTAAGGCGTGCTAACGCTACACCAACGTTCAAGGAGCGCGATTGTTTGGCCTCAACTCAAAGGTTTTAGACGTTTTGGGCAGAGGCTCTCACATGGGTGCTGCTGCTGCTTCTGCTGCTGTGCGTTTTCCATGTTCATAGGAGGAGCAGCGGATGATACGGTACACCGGCAGGTAAATGGTTTGAAAATGCTGCCTCTCTTTGCGCACACCTACATACAGCGGCAGCTTCGGGAATACTGCGAACAAGTCTTGCAGCCAAAAGACATGGCCTTCTCACCCATGCCGCGTCTGCTCGCCCCGCAACGCATATCGAGGATCTACGAGAGAATAATTTTCAACAAAAAGCGAGAGCAACGTGCATATGTTGCGAGAGTGAGAGGAGAGACGGAACAAGAAGGCGAGCTAAAAAAGAGAGGGGCAACGCCAACGCTGCTACTCACCACTCTTGAGAACAGGCTCTCGGCTCCTGGCCCGTACGGGTAGTCCGGGTAATTCTGAATGGGGCAATCTAACTCGCATGGCTCAGTCGTCATGGGTGCCTCGCGCCCTGAATCCCTCTCTCCCGCCGCTGCAGGCCTCCGAATACGAGAGGGGGGCGGCTGAACGCCTCTCCCTCTTTAAGCCCCGCCCCTTTCGAATCGACCCTCTTCTGAGTTGTGACGCCCTCTCTCACTCTCAAAATCCACAAAGCGCTCTGTTCCGGTCTCCGCGAAAAGAATTTCCTCACCAGCTGCACCTTCCTCCCTCTCCCGATTGGCCAAGCGATCACGAGCCTCTCGAATCAACCAACCCTAACCACCAGAACACCAGTAAAGCTTCCCTCTCCCCTCCGCTCTCTCTCTAGCGATAACCCTAGGCCCAGGGTAAACAAAGGGCTATCTCTCTCTGCTGCATAAATTCTAGTTAGATGGTCCCCGGCGTTTGAAAATGACCATCCGCCACGTTCTTACGAGCCGTTGAGAGAGAGGGCCAATTTTCGTCCTACAACGCTCCAGACCAAGAGGCGAAACGCCAAACCGCAGCGCAGCGATACACCTTCGACCTCCGCTCTGCGGCTCCCTAAGGCTGCCCGCTCCAGTTGCGCTCCTTGTGTACGTGAACTAACTGCCCCGCTTGCCGTCCGTCTGTATGGTGTGGGTTTTTGGTTTACGTGCGTTTTTTCCATGACAGCCTTTTTTTTTTTTCAGAGTTTGTTTCGTCCCCGGTCCTCAGCCGCCTCCTAGAGGGTTTCATTATCTGGCAGGGGGGGACGTGAAAAACACTGCTTGCTTGTAGAGACAGCTCACCTTTTTGGTATGGGTGTGGGGCTACCTTTTTTCGCTTCTTCCATCATCAGCCATATTTGCCGTGTGTTAAATACACAAGGAACACGTTGGTTAGCCCACAACTGTTGAGCACGCGAAGGGGTTGCATGCTCGCCGCGTCCGACCTCGTTGAAATTGCGGAACTCTGTCTGCCGTGCGACTACGCTGGAGAAGAGGGCGAAAGCGCAGCAGCACGCCGCCATGAGCGCCGCTCTTTGGGACGCGGAAAATGGAGGAGCACCTGCGACTGCTGCCGCAGCAGCAGCAGCAGCAGAGAGCTCGGCGGAGAACTGGGAGCCGGCGTCGCAGGCCAGGATCGGCGGCGGCATCGACTCGGCGGGAGGTTCGGGCTATCCCGAGACGAAGGACAACGGCGAGGATGCCGCCGCGAACCTTTTCGGGAATGACATCCCAGTCGAGGACGGGGGGACGGGCGGCGGCGGCCCTGCTGTCGTGATAGCTTCGATCCCCCCGGCGGCGGCCGACGGGGTCGTCGGCAGGGGCGGCGGGCTCGGCACCCGGGGCTCGGCTGCCGGCACCGGCTTCGCCTCGGGCACGAGCACGCTGACGAAGCGCCGGAACTCCATGGCCTTCGAGATCGCCCGGGTGGAGCGGGCGGGCAAGGCCGCGCTCGCGAACCTCGAGAAGGCCAAGCGGGCCTGGGAGCTATCCCGGCCGCGCTTCGTTGAGGAGAGATCGGTCCACGGGCCGGCGATGGGAGGGAGCGGCGGCGCAGGAGGGGGGAGGGCGGGGAAGAGGAGGGCGCGCTTGCCCCCCGGGCAGGAGAACAGGGACGCGGTGCCCTACGGCGTGTGGAGCACGAGCTGGGCGCAGATGGGCGACTTCGGGCTTGACGTGGGGATGTATTTCGTGACCCTCGCCCAGCTTGTCGGGGCCGTGCTCGTGTACGCGGCGCTCTGCGTGGTGGCCATGGTCCACTTCTCCAGCGAGAACTACTCCGGGCAGCAGGTGATGACTGTGTGTTTTTTCTTTCGTGTCGGCCTCGCCCACCTCGTATTCACCCCATATTCCGCTGCTGCGTTTTCTTGCATTGCGATGTGGGTGTGTTTTCGTGTGTCTGTCCACATTTGATGTAGTCTACAGTCCAAATTCCAAAACAGATTGCCGGTCCCTATTTACTTGACTCCAGTATGCATGTGCGAAGGTTCGTGTTGCTCCGCCTGCTGCATGTCGCCGGCGGTGGCCACGTCTTCCGTCCGCCTCCTCTGAACCAAAGGACCGCCGTGCCACTGCTCCTTGTTTTCAGCATCCGCCAGCTGAAAGCTACCGCGTAGCTAGAGAGTCTTGAAAAGGACGACGCCCCAGCGTGGTGTTGTGCTTGATGGCGTTCGAAGCCTATCTATAATATTGGTAAATAGTGTGTGTAGAACGCACGACAGATGGCTGAAACCCCATTTCCCTCGCCGCCTTGTGCGTTTGGTTTTGTCTCGTTAGTACACAGCGATCGCGAGAAAAAATCCCCATCATCCCGTCATTCTCTACACCCTCCCTCCCTGCATTGACACACGACCACTCGTCACAAAAGATCCCTTTGTATAGGTTGACAGGTTGACATGACACGTGCACTGGATGCCCTGGGCTAGCTGCCTCGTCCATCGTTTTGGCTGACGTGATTCCCTCGTACAGGCCACGTCCTGGTCGGAATATTTTTTCTCAGTTTCCGATCTCCAGTGCGCGATGTGATATTTTTATCGTACCTACCGTATATGACACAAGATAACACACCCCCTGGACCGATTTTTAAAGCTCGATTACTCCGCGACGAAGGGATGCATGAACGAAACGATACATTTTCGACAAGCTCTCGACGAGACGGTTTCAACGCCGCCGTTTTCGGCGCTAGGACTGTTGCTGCAGTTGAGAAATCTAGCTTCGAAAATTGGTCAAGGGGGTGTGTTATCTTGTGTCATATACGGTAATCACCAGCACTGGGGCGGGCATTAGCTGTATTCTACGTACATGTATATGCGTTACACGCACGTGGCCAAAAATAAAGGTTAACACCGCCCGAGGATGAAAAGGAAATTAATTCCTCTCCCTCGGCTGGTGCTAAAGCATTCCAACAACCCGAACGTAAAGGCCGCAGGTGCTAAGAATCGTTGGGGATGGAAAAATCAAGGAGTAAAACCCAGAAAAACACTTCTGTTTTTCTTTTCTGTCGCGGGCTGCTTGCCTCGCTCATGTTGATGGGTGGGCTGGTCTTGCCTTGTGTCTGCCGAGCTCTGCCCAATGTGTGTGTAAGTGGGTCACAAGTAATTGAACAGCAAATGGGCGATTATTTCCCTTTGCTGCTTTTATTGTGCCGTCAAGAGGAAGGTGTGCGAGTAGAGTCAAGCAGCGCTGCGGTCCTTGTCGCTGCTACGGGTGCGTGCATCTTTCGTTTGTTCTACTTTTTTAAATACGCAACGGATTCCATGTGTGCGTAAATGTAAGTCGGGATAAATTGTTAGCACCAACTAAAAAGTGTTGTGCATGGCTACAGTTCCCCTGTGGGTAACGGGCTCACCGAGACAGCAGTTCGGTGGCCATCTCGTGTGTGTCTTGAGTATCTATGCATATGTATTCTACATTCTACATGGTTTGAGGACGTTCACGAGTTCACGAGAGATGCCGCAGTAACGGTGGGCCTTCGCAACTCCACTCCACCCCCCGAGACTTCGGCTGGTGTTCGCATGCGTTAATTTTGAGTTGTGAATGTTCCTGAGAGATGCCGCAGTCGTCCTCCCCCCCCCCCCCCCCCCCCCCCCCCCCCCCCCCCCCCCCCCCCCCCCCCCCCNAATGGAACGCGGCAAGCACGGACACGCGTTTCATGTTTTAGCGGTTTTGTGACCCGCGGGTCCGTTTTGGTGCTAACTCAACATGTGATGCTCGTGTACAACGTACGTCGATCTCCTCTCGCCGGCACGCGAACGTCATGACGACAGCATTATCCTTCTGGTACTGTTGACATTCGAAGACAGCAGTGCACAGGGCACTTGGTTTGGTTTTGCTTGCATGCACTTCTACGTGTGCATATTCAACAATTGGCGATGCCATCCTCGCAAGCTGTGGACGTACAAGGCTCGGGTGCGAGACCAGACCCTGACGCTCTGCTTAAGCTCGCTTTTGACTCAATATGTATGAAAAACGAGGGGTTTCCAACCCCTATTCTTGGTTGATTAAACCGGGTGGGACCTGTCACTTTGAAACAGTGTCAGGCGGTCCACCCGAAGTGGCATGCGAAGCATACGTTACATATTTCATGTAAAACGGAGGAGCTCTTTGAATAGTGTTAACATGATTTTGCCACGAATTCCCGGTCAGTATTTCCACCTCTTTCTGGATCGATCGAGAAGCGTCCGCTCGATTGGCGAAAATACGCCAAAGGTTCGACGTTCCAAAATAACCAGCAGGCCAGGTTACCTCGGGCAAATCCGTTAATTGGCAGCGGGGAGACTAGACGCACGGAGAGACAGCTCAAGCTTCCTGTTGAACTCTACATTGTATGCCCGATTTTTTTTTCGTTCATATACCGCCGAGTTGCTTTAAAAAACTCGATTATTGTTGGAGGCTTCCCGCTGCTCGTGTGTGGGAGCAAGTCGCGTCTCATGCACCACACAAGCTCTAGTAATAGGCGCACGTGTCGTTGGCTCGTGTGCGTTTTTTGTTTTTTGTTTTGAAAAGTCGTTTTTGGGCTTTTGCGACGCCTGAAACGCGGCCTGCTGTTCTCGAGCGAGAAATTAGGGAACGATTTGTAAAGAAACGCGAGCCTACCCTTCCCCCTTCGTATCACGCTCTGCGTTGCTGAGGATCGAACCATTCGGGATCGAGGGCCCAGGGGGTTGTCGGCTGTCTTGCATGTTCCCTACTGCTGCTGATGTACACCTACCTATTCCCCGTTTTGTCGAGGGGCAGCAGCAGCAGTGGTGCACGTGGCGAGTGACGCAGAGCGGTTTCGAAGCGCCATCTCTTATATTGGTTGGTGCATCGCGAGTCACGCATGGCACTACTGCCGTTTCGTAAACAGACATCCCAAAGCATTGGTGTAAACGTATTCTTGTAGCAAATGCTTGGCGCACCTCGCACTGACAGCAATGCATGCTCTCTGGGTGGAAACGACTGCCCACGGGCCTTTGTTGTTGGTGCATTTACTCGCGAAGCTCGTCGTTCCGAGCACCATTCGTTCGGAGCAAGGTTGAGGTTCGGAGAAGCCGGAGCCACCCTTGGAGATAGCGGTTTTCCGTTTAATCTCGCGTCTGGTTTCCGCTGTCACTCGGGGCTGAAGTATTTTTCGGGTACCTTGCGCTGCCGCGGCGTGGACTTCGTGTATTGAGTTGCTCTCGCAGGCCCCTCCGGCGCCGGTCCCGTGCATGCCGCGCTTCAATTTTTTTGTGTCCTGGTTGCTCATGACACAGATCACGCGCCCTGCCCGAGGTGATACGAATGGGCTGTTGCTGTTGCGCACCGGTCGTGTTGCTACCCGCGCGGCGCACTATGATAATATTCTGGCAGTCATGCTGCTGTCTGGCTGTTGTTGCATAAAGATCGGTGACTGACTTTTGACTCCCGTGCTGATTCGCAACCCCGCTACATTTTCCGTCCGCCGCCAAGACCCCCGCTGCAGCAATCGTACCCATTGCGTACGTACCGAATCCCCCCCCCCCCCCCCCCCCCCCCCCCCCCCCCCCCCCC